AAAAAAAAAAAATAATAAAATAAAAATAAAAAAAAATTGTTAAGTCGAAAAACACATAAATTATTTTATTATATTAATTAAAAAAAAATACACTTTACTTACCTAACTATCTGTAAATTTATACTTTACCTACAAAACTTTTTTTTATACTTTGTCTACCTAACTTTACTTTTTTGTAGGTAAAATGTAAATTTCAGAATAGTTAGGAAGGAAAAGTGAATTTTTCCCATTAACTATATACATATACAACTTTTCTTGCTTAAATTGAGTCCTTTTTTCTTATTGTCATATCAACAGAACTCAGTCCACTTGTTCTTGCACTGAATGATATATTTTTTTTTTAATTGAGTCTATTCCCTATGTGGCCTACATATTAATATTTTGTTTATTTTTTTTTATTTATTTTTTGAATGTTCTCAATGGGATATATTTTTTCAAGCTGAGTTATTTCCTATATGAGCCTATATATTATTTTAATTTTATTTATTTTTGAATGAATTCAATGGGTTGTGGATGGTAGTTTGACTTATTTATCCGGTGGAAAGAACATTTAAAGTTATTAATCACTTTACTTGTGATTGTGAAGATCCTGAAGGGATTGAGGTGAGATGAAAACGTCAACAATATATCTGATGAAATATTCACAAAATCTGTTGTGGACCGCAAATACTTAGGTGTACCCTGACACACCTAGCAAGGTGTGCCAAGTCTTTTTTACACATGTTCATTTTATAAAATAATATATTCACTTTAAACTGAGTGTGCCAAGGGCACCCGGTAATAGCACTAGTTGTGGACCACTGACCATGAATATGTTGGAAACTGTGATATGAATCATATGATAGGGAGTTTCTTTTAAAAGCAATATTCCCTTTAATTAGCTCTCTATATGCATGAATAATAATATTTGTTGTATAATTTAACGCGAAAATATGTAAATGAATGAATAATGATATTTGTTGGAAAATATGGGTTGCTTTTTATTTTTTAATTGTGCTAACGAGATATGTAGGAAAAAAAATGAGATGAAAAATGAGATGAAAAATGAATAATTTTGTCAAAAATTTTTATTTCACTTTTGTTTCAACGAGAAAAATCTTGACAAAACAAACAAAAAAAATTATATCCAATCGCAGCCGTAAGATCTATACAGCGACATCTCGGATGAAAGGTAGAAGATGATTGAAAGAATATTATTACATGCCAATAAAAAAGAAAAAAAATCCAATGTATCTGTTAAACTTTAGACCCTGCCTCAATAGTATCTTCTCAACATGTCAGCACACAAAATAACACAATGGTTCTTGATGCTCCTAACAAACATTACACATTGGCTGGAAAACACATTTCCAGGTCTGTATACACTGTTGAAACACCAAACGAGAAATTATACAACTAACAGTTACCGTATATTTTGAAGTATTTTTCTTTGCTCGGATGTTACTACAACATCTTTCTGCCGAGCAATTAAAAACCTTTTCACCATTTATGAATCTTCCAGAACCATTTGTATGCTAGTGTACACACCTCTCCACAATCGAGAAAGTTAAAACTCTAGGAAAACAGTAAAACCAGACCCAATTGGGGTACGAATACCTTCATCTCACTGGAGAGCAGTTTGTTTCCAGTGGGCCCAGAGCATTACGAGAGAGAATCCCATCAACGACATAATTACCGTCTGCAGAATCAAAGGAAAAAGTTGTTTTATGATAAAATAATACCAGTATGCGAGATTGAACGAAATACCCATAATCTTCGCATGGGTTTTATTTCCCGAAAGCAGTGAGTTGAGAAGCAAAAAAATGACGCGCTCAAAACATCAGCAGCCAATGCATTATTGGTAAATACATAATAAAGTTATCACTTATCAATTTACCGAAATAGCAGGAGGAATGCTGACGAGTGGATCTTGAAAGAACTTATTTGCAAGCGCTAGAGCCAAAAGGCTGCTCTGCATGCCTACAATAATAGTATTAAAAGAAAGGAAAAAAGGAAAAAAAAAAAGTGGCTGGTTAATTTGGATAAACCAACAATTACCATCCTTCACCAATTTAACGATCACCATTATAATCACCTGTCTCGTAGGATAACGTTCTTTGCAGAGCTTTGACGTCAGGGGAATCACGGAAAATGAGACCCGTGAAAGAATACCCGGCAATGAAAGCCGACAGATGAAATGCTATCACCAGCAGGAGGATTGAAATCCCAGAAGGCGACATCACCGACTCCACGTTGATCGCAAGTGGGGCACCAACACAGAGAGCAGTCACGAAAACCGAAAGCGGGGGCAGAAATGGTCGGATGGCATTACAAATTTTAGGAAAAAACCTGCAAGCACATGTCGGATAAAGTAAGTGAAGCTGATAGTGCAGCATGTGATTCGAACTGAAATTATACAATCCAAAGTGGGTTGACTATGGAAACTTGCCCCTGAGGTTTGGTCAAAATACATAAACAATTTACTTATATTTTTTAATTACAAACAATCCTAGATATGTCTATATAATATGACAGGTAAGGACAAAAATGTAAGAGGTTATCTGCAATATTAAACGAGAAATTGGAACAATGGTTATTTGTAGCTCAAGCGCTACTTATCACTTGTAAGGGGGTTGCACTGCTATGGTTAATACAGAATTACATATCTACACTTTGCATTTTCATAGAAATTTAGATTACCCACCATCAGTCCCCTTATAACTATTAAGAAAAATAATAAAGATAATTGAGGTGTTTAGAAATTAGACTAATCCTCATGTGTAAGTTTCCTTAATTATCTCCATAAAGGTAGCAAAGAGACCTATTTAAAAGTAATCCAATTGCAATAGGAGTGACAACGATTTGGAGGATATTGGAAACCATCCCTTTCACATCAACCGGAAGCTTTTTGCCGATAAGCAACAAGGACAAAAACGGGGTAACAAAAACAGCAGTGGCAGTGGATATAGACGTCATTACAATGCTTAGTGGCGCCATTTCAGGATCTGTTAGAAAAGTGGCGTAATTGGAGAGCTGGGCGCCACTGACGCAAGAAGTTAACATAATCCCAGCACCTGACCAGCAAAGTAATGGAAGTTAGGCCTTTTATTTGATTTTCAAGACATAGTCTAACAAGGAACATCTTTTACCTAAGGAAGTCGGAAGACCGAATATAGTCATTGAAATTGTGCCGAAAAAGTACCCAAGAAGGGGCTTCACAACAAATTGACCAATATAGCCAGCAATAATGGCTGCTGGTCTACTGAAAGCTTTGAGAAAATCTTTTTCGCTTGAATTAACTCCAACTGCAAACATCAAAAATCCTAATGCTGGAGCATAGTACCTGAATATGAAAGCCGAATGACGTAAACCGTTAAACTAGCACAAAGGATCCAAATAATATGACATTTTCCTTGTAATTTATCATCTTAACCCACAATAACAGTCACACAAAACATATGATATCTTTGTTCCCCAGTTCCAGTCATCGTAAAGACCCATCCCCAGTTCGGAATTAGACATTTTGATCCTCTAAACTCATCGTATTCAGCAATCAAGCCTTGAATTGGCATCATGCTTACAAAAATTGTGCAAAGAATAGCAGTACACCTGTTAGTGAACCAACTAAATGAGGGCGGGTATATAATAGCCAAAACTGTACTTGCTAGGACCACTTGAGGTAGAAAAGAGTTTGCTCCCTTCAAAATGGTCATCAATGAAATCTCATCTTGGATCTGAATCAAATTAACCAGAATGAGACTACTGTAAGAAACATCATGTGGGAAGTACTACTGCAATCAACTGATCGAAAACAGAGAACCTGGCTCACAAGTTATAATTGCCATTTCATTCACACAACTCTATCGACGCAAAGATACTTTTAATGAATTATGGTCAAATTTTTTGCTTAAAAAAAATCAATTTCATGGAGAAAACTAAAAGATGATACAAATACAATCTGAATAATCAGACCATTTACTTAGCTAATACTATTGCAGGAACATGATGATAAGGGCAAACAGTTTAAGTCCCAAATTCGCACACACATTGTAATGGAATCATATAATTAAAAGGACACATTTAATCTACAACCAAATCATCACAATAAGGAATCTAAAGCCATAAGTTTTAGAATTTAAAGACACCTCAAGAGATCCAAATGCATGATCAGAAGGCTGCTCTGGAGGTGAATTTTCCGGCGCACCCTTGCATACTATGAATGCTCTTGAAAATTTACCTGCATCTTTTGGGGGCACCGCACCAGAATCAAACGTCCATATGGTTCAAAGAAAAATCAAAAGTTCATCAAGAGATTGATTTAGCTTCACTATATCAGTACTTTAAATGATAATACACAGTCATAATTGTAAACCCAAATCAGCAATTTCGACCAACATTATTAACTCCATCAACACTGGAGCAGAGGTAGTTCTGCTCACCAGAACAAGATAATGCTAGAAAGACATGACGGCTAGAAAAGGAAAACACAGAAACTAACCCGAGCCCGAATGAGATTGCAAGCTTCGAAGACATAATCCTGCATTGCAGACGAATTCAATTATTATTATTTGAAAAAAAAAAAAAACAATTTTTGCTTGTTTTTTGTTTAAAACTTCACACTCCGCATTGAGCAAGAAATCGAAAAATGCGGCAAAAGAGACCTGAAAAATTGGAGCGATTCAGATTTTTCGGGGATGAGAAAGCGGTAACTCCGGTGGACTTGAGCCATCGATTTTCCGATTGAATAAAAGAGTGGCGGCCATGGAAGTGCGGACGGTGGTTCAGAAGCTTGCCGCTCGCACTCATTATTTTGCCTTCTGCCAGAAAATGGCCGGCACTGGAGAAGCTATTTTGGTGTTGACTATTGAGTATATTGAATTTTGGGCATGAGGTCCACAGTGGAGTGACAGTAAGAAAATTTGGTTAGGTACCGATTTAATGGTTCCATTTTTTGTAAATGACTTAGAAAATTTCAAAATTATTTTAAGGTGAATGAGAAATTAATTCTAAGTTGTATATGTGAAAAATATAAGGTTGAAACAATTGAGTTTAAGTAACTCAAATATCATTAGATTCGCAAAACATTCGGTCTTTGAAGAGTGTTAGGACAATTTTTGAAAATAAAAAAATAAAAAAATAGCAATTTGCATGCTAGAACTCTAAAGGGGTTCGTTGGAGATAAGGAGGAAAAAACAGAACTCCATTCCGAGTCTGTATGAGCTCGTACGAGCACGCAGTGCACGGGGCACGCAATTGGCTGCGGACACTGAAGGATCGTGACCGTTATTGATCATTAGGTGTCTTTTGACCACTAGATGCATATGTTCTTATTCAGACAAGTCCCAAAAGGTGTTATTGACACTTAAATCTCTCGGAGGTGTTTTCCTACATCTACAAATACCCATAAGCATAAAATTATTCAAGACATCAAAAAGACACCTTAAATCTCTTGGAGGTGTTTTCCTACATCTATAAATACCCAAAAGCATAAAATTATTCAAGACATCAATTTTTAAAAGTCTTTGCGTCATTTTACAAAGTTCATAAATCATCTTGTGTTCTTTATGTTTCTTCTATTTTGAGAGTTCTGAAACTTAAGTATTGTTCGTCGGAGATTTGTGTATTTTAATTACCGCTATACACAAAT